ACCACTGGGGAGGATTTAAAAATTCAAATTATGCTCAGAAAAAGATTGTTTTCTCAGGATTCAAACAACTCTAAGAACATTACTTCAAGGAATTCAATTCAGTGATACATCTTTTCCACCCTCAGTTTCTCATACTGCACAAGAAGAGCTTGACAGCATGGAGAGAACTCAAACTTTGATCCAAATGGAAGGGCCACTCACATTCTTTGGGTTCAATCGTATAAGAGCAGCACAGCCACACCATAACTGCAAAACAGAAATTAGATCCCTAGTTTATGGCTAAACACATAGGATTTTATCACGTATTGTTGCTTTAGGAAAACAGTAGAGGACTTCCTAGAAAAGAACAGCTCATTTCCTGAAATACATATAAAGAGCATCACATGAAGAAAAATAAAAAGGTGAAAATCAGACTTAGTAAACTGTTTGGTTCCGTTCTTTACACCCTAGTTAGTTCTAATAACCAAGGATTTAGTGCTGATATTGAGTATCAACATCCTGGAGAGTACAAAAATATACTGAACAAGCCAGTCATTTTCCCTTGGCAAGCTATTTAAATCTTTGGTTGTGAAAAGCATGCTGAGAATCTCATCCTGCTAATTTTACACACAATAAAAAGAGTTCCCTTTTCCACATCAGAGGAGTTTGACATTTTTTTCCCGTTCTCTCTGTAAGATGGCCAAAGGTCATGGGATGGGACAAAGAACAGACATAGACTTGGACTTTTCAGAATAATGCAATAAAGTCCTACACAGAGAAGCCTAGTAACTGAGGGCCTCTTCTCCTGCTCAGTTTATAGAGGAATGGAAGTTTTCACAGGATACCTCCATTTCAAAGCAGAGCAGCCCCCACATCCACATCCAGTTATGATGTCTGAAAGCACAGAAACAAGCTGGCCATCAAAAATGAAGGCCTGACTACAGGGACATTACTTTAAGTAGGTAATTAATAAGGAACAATGGGAAAAGAAAAAACTTGGAAGATCCAAGGAGTAAGCAGATACCTCTTACCAATCCAATGAACAAGGAGGCCAGGCAGGAGCAGAGCAGGTGGAGGGACACGTTTGTTTTGGGCAAGAAGCTGAAGTGCCATAAGGGAGAGCAAGGAAGAGGCAGCTGTTTATTCACGGGCTGGTTAAGGCCAGGAGAGCCACAGCAGGGCTGCAAGGAGCATCTCACCAGCTGAATGTTAGAAATAACTGCCTCAATTGTAATGAAAGAGTTTAGAAATTCATTTTCAGAGAGACAGATAGTTATGGCTGCATCAGGTGGTGATATAATATGCCCCCAGTCAGGCATCATTCTCCAATAGCCCCTTGCCCCTTGGTTGGACACTAGCTGAAGGCTGAGTGAATGAAGTGTGAGATTTCTCTGGGTGTGAGAACAATATAATGGGTGAGAAAGCAAGCAGGAATAGTGAAACTTTCTGGGATGGTTTAATTTTTTTCACTGTCATTTCCTGTATGTGCCTATACAACTTTCAGAGGGTACTCTGCCATAGAGTCACAGATGAACAAAGTTATAAATATCTAGGAAAATGATACCGTGAGTTAAACAGCATAAGGAAATGACACTTTGCTATCATTTACCCTGATGAAAACCTACGGCAACTCTGCTGGCGTTAGGAGGGTTGCTCCAAATTTAGGGAGCTAAGAACCATATTTGTCCTAGACAGAAAGCAATCGTCAATAACCTCAATTTCTATGTTTTACTGTGATGCAAAGCTGACTCCTGCAATCACATTTTATTTGTGCGAAGCTTCAGTTCCTGTTACTCTGTTTCTAGTGGTTCTTTAAGTATTTGGTACTTGCATAGCTAGGGGTCCTGTCATAGAGCATTCACTAGGTGAAGCAGTGATTTAATGCTCTCACTAATTTTAACATGCTAAAAGTGAATACTTTTAGCAAATACAATTCAACTCTTATAAATTAAAATAAATCAAATTCTTTAATCACAAGGCTTCAATTTTGTGTTTCATGTGCTTGTGAGGGTGATGCAGCAATCTCAAAGTCACCAGGACATCCTGGTGAAAAAAAAAAAAAAGGGAAATAAAAAAAAGCATGTGGATTAATTACTTTGATGGTAACAATCCAAGCAGGTTTTGATCCCTGGAGATCATGTAAGCTGGGGCATACATGTGAACGGAACAACAAAATTAATACAAATCTGATTTTGTAGATCTGTCTCATACTAAAGTATTCTGGAAATTAAGATCTTGAGGTGTACTGAGAGAATCAAAGGCTTAGTCAATAGCCAAAATTCAAAATAAGCTGGCTAAATTCCAAGTACTCGTGGGTTTACTGACAACAAATGAAATTTATTATTAAATAACCTGATCCTCATTTTGATACTACTGTGCATTCATTAAATAGATTTGGGTGTTAATTTAACTAACAAATCTGTGAGTTGAAGAAAAATATGAATACTGTACCTAAACAAACATACTATTTATAATCTTATACCTTATAATCTTATACCATAACCCAGTGTGACCTAGGATAATTGATAAAGCATTCCCATCATGTTAAATTTAAGACTTAGAAGTTAAGGTAAGAAAATCAAACCAAAATTCATCCAAGTACATCCACTCCTCTTCTTGCATCCCTCTATCCTGTCTTATTGACTATAGAGAGCAGATCTGGCATCAATAACCATCTGGTGTGCTTTAGCCCTTAGCAGCTGCTCCTATTTTATGTTGATAACTTCCCAATGAGAACCATTGATAGGGCAGGTTTTAGTTAGGGCTGCAGGTGTTTCACAGTTATTGCAAGAGAATAAGATGAGGGTGTGAGCAGGTTATAAAGACTACTCTGCTCTCTAAAGCTCTCTTCTTCCCTCATCTTTTAGGAGGGGAGGAAGTGAGTTCTGGCTTTCCCTAAAATTAAGGTAAAAAAGATGACTAGTCTGCTTTGAGGGTGGAAGTTCAGTTTTGAATTGCCTAAGAGTGGTTGGTGTTGGCTGTGGTAATAGCTGTAAGTCAGTGTTCTTTCAACACCTAATATTTGTGTGGACTGTCTTCAAAACTAAGGTTTGTTTGCTGGATCCCAAGAGAAGTCCTAAACACAGAAATGCTGCTTTGTGGGTGTCTTTATGGAAACAGGTGTCCTTTTGAAAGAAGAGATGGTGCTACTTACAGTAAGAAGGCTCTACTCTGCTCTGTGTAGTCTTAATACCTGAGAGAGGTTCCACTATTTTTTATGGATCTTCAGTGTGGTTATTGCCAATCACCTAAAAAAAATTTGTTAAAAAGGCTTTGAAGAATGCACTGGTTTTAGTATGTAGATTGTGGTATGCTGTCTGCCTTTGTTCTGTATGTGTCACCTTAGTATTTCTCCAAGCTGCTATTCTTGACCAGTATATGATGTATATAGGTTTTATGCTGGTAGCTGTAATAATGAGCTAAGACAAGAGGAAATAAATGTCTTTTCAGCAGGCTCTTTAATGCATGCTTTTAAAGAGTGCTCACTGCTAGCAAATAATCTTTTCTTACAAAAAAAATTAAAAATAACTTGATTCCCACAAGATGTGATATTTTGCTAAAAGCCTTGACTTCTCTAGCAATGTAGTTCATGTAAGCTATTTACTTTTTACTCTTCAACTAAAACCACATTTCTATCAGATTAGCTAAAAACTTCAAACTGGGTCTTAAAGAACACTCAGGGCTTCTCTTTTTAAGACTACTTGGCCTTTGGGACTTGACTCAATAGCTCAAGGACACATGGGGTTGGGAAGGGGTGCTTTGAAAAATACCAAAGAACATAACTGGTTGGAATTTGATCATGCTTTTGCTTTAGTATGCAAACATAAGTTTTATTTTAAGGTAGGGAAGAATCTTCTATGACTGGGGAGGTAGTAAAGGAGGGATTGACCAAAACAAACATGAGTCTGTGTTTAGAAGGTGTAGTTTTAGCTCTCTTGATACCATGGACATTAGTTTTCCCAGCATAAATTAAGGTTTTAAACGCTAAGCATCTAGGCCTAAGACACTGTTATGTACACAGAGCTTCATTCTCTTGGTTTCCTTGGCACTCTTGATGCCAAGTTTGAGCTTTTATTCTAGACTCTGCTGTACAAATTTACAAAATGTTCACGAAGTTAGATGTTATATTAGGTTCTTATTTAAGTATTAAATGTTGTTATTTATCTGCTTGTTGCTGTAAGATTTTTTGCTAAGTTCACACTGTACTCTTTTGCTCTTGTCTTCCATTTCTAGCCTTGGAGCTTCAGATGGGGAAGATGAACATCTTGCACTTGATATCATCTAGTGTGGGTTTTTTGGCAGAAAAAAAGCAGGAAAAAATGATTATGTATCCTAAGAGTTGAAAATAGTGCAAGATGGGCTTGACTGGGTTGTGAGTGACTTAAAACTACCTCAGAACTTTTCTTCTATTGCTGGCCACTTATAGGAGAGGCAGATCCTGTATGTGTCTGGATCTTTCCCTTCTAAGATAGATACTTTGGTGAAAGGTTTAGCATTTAGCTAATGGTATGTGGTGGTACAAATAGTGTTCACTCTTATTAGCTAAGGCGTGGGCTTCAGGAGCTCAGAACTGGTATTTTTGGAGACTGAAATAAACAAATGAAAATATAAGATGTGTGACCAGCAATATCTGCTGGGATGCCACAGCTCTAAGAGTGGGCCATATGTACTATTCTGGCAATGTGGTGATTGCAGTAGCTATCTACCTGATTATGACCTTTTTCACACCTCATGAAATCCTTCATTCTGTTATGAAAAGCAGACTATCAGACTTTTTGGGAGAAAGCTAGTATGCATCTCTAGACTCTAGGGGTGCAGTATGTCCAGATATGCACTTTAAAACCAATGTCTTGCTTAGAACATGAAGGTATGCTGTAGTGACAATATTGGTGTTCTACAAACAGAAGTGAACATGTAAACAGCATTAAATGTAGGTATCTTCACTGAGTGCTTCTGTTTTGCTCCCTTCAGGCTCAATGTGTAATGACCTTTGAACAAGTGGAAATACAAACTCGCTAAAGATGTCTGTTCAAAGCCAGCACCATTCCATTATTATTAACCCTCCTCCACCAGAATACATAAATAACAAAAGCAGTGGATGTCAAACAAACCAGCTTCAGTACTTACAGAGGGTGGTCATGAGAGCCATGTGGAGACACAACTTTTCCTGGCCATTTCAGCAACCTGTTGATGCAGCAGCACTGAATCTGCCTGTAAGAAACATTTTGGAACTGGAGTATTAATATGTAAATTATGTGAATTAATGTTAAACAGGTTTTTTGCTGATGCAACAGATTATGGAAGACTATTTTTGCTATTGAACTGCTGTCATTAATGCAAGTCTACAAGAAAAGTGTTCTCTTTCTAGAGAAATGCTGCATTTTTGCTCATTTTTCTCATCTGAAACTATAAAATCAGTATCTCTAAGGGATGATAATAATAATGCTTAAACAGGCTTCTGAGACTTTCTGTATATTGATGTTCAAACTTATCTTCTGGTTTAGACGTATTTATTAACACTGCATATGATGAATATTTTCTTTTGCCTCTGAGTATTTTTTTTAATATAAAGCAGCCTTAATGTCATATACTTTTTGATGGAAGGTCAGATCTGATTGAACCTGAAGTAAACAGGCAAATCTGGAACAATTTTGCTGCAGAGAAGTCATTACACCGATAGTATTTGTCAATTTCAAATCATTTTACTCTGAAGCTTCTAGAGGAAATAAATGTCCCTGCAAAAACAGGGAAATTAAAAAAGCTATGATTCTCATGATACTATGGTGGAAGAACATCCTTCCATGAAGTAGAAGATATAATGCTTAAATTTGTTTTCTGTTCTGCTGTGTGCATGTTATTTATGGTACAACTTAAATGTAACAAAATAGATGACTATAATGTCTTGTGGCACACAGTTTTCATACAGGTATTTTTAGACTCCACTTTTGGATGTTTTTCAGTCAAATGAAAACATAGATGATTGGCACAATGGTATTTCAGATTACTTGGAAGATGCTGCTCTTGGTAGATAAATAGAAAGACATGAAATAAAACCATTATACTTTCCCTTGGATTATTTTTTTTTCCTCCTCCAACAGCTTAAGCTTCGATATTTATTTCTCACAAATTTTCAAGACTAATTCTGCTAACTCACTGGTTATGTTTAGACAAAAGCCTTTATCTGTGGCTGTTTCTTGTGATAAACTCATTTGGTCAGTTTGTCCAAAAGCATGGTCAAAGTGACTATCTCTGTGTCTTTTCTTACCCCTTCTCCTTCTTGGAAGTAGCTGTTACTTAAGGGTAATATTAAGGGGCATTCCACCAGAGCTGTGGCAACATTTGCAGCTGGCTTCAGGCCAGTTCTGCCTCTCTGGATTTCTAAGGCAGCCTCTTCACTTCTCAGAGTATTAGTTCAGCCATTGCACAGTAACAAGCAAATGTCTGGCTCCATGGCAAGGACAATAAAAGTATTTGCCCCCTTTGCATTTTTCCTCCAAGTGTTAGAAGATGCAGAATGGACAATACTTAATAATTAACTGTGTTTTTGTTTTGATAAATAGCCTGCACTCTGATGTATTTAGCTTTTTTATTTCTCCAAAACAGATTGTTAGGATAGCTTTAGAACATTCTAGAAGTAGTAGGTATTTTGTACAATTGCCATGTATATGTTACAATGGCTATGTGAAATTAGTGGGGATATTTCTACTCCAGTTTCTTAAATGCACCATCAGGGAAACAGTCTTGTGGTCTCACAAGGTTTTTTTGCTGTGCTGTTAAAATAATCATGACAGTTCCCATTCCAGCAGCCTTTTGGTTATATTGCCACTTTTTCACTAGGCCAACATTAAGAGGAGAGCCAATATAGCCAAGGATAAAATATTTGGACAGAAATTGTGTAAACTTGGCAGCTTCTTTTTGTTAATGACTGAGACTATGTTGAAGTTTGGCTTCTTTTTCCTCTATTCTGTAAACTGGAGTGCTGGGCTTTGACATAACAAATGAGAAGTGCATATAGTTTTAATAAGTAGTACTTTCAGTAGAGCACTGGAGCCTATTGAAATAAATATTCGTTGAGGCTTTGAATGATTTAGGTTACATGGAAGAACAAGGGCAAAATATAAGGTGAAGATTTCCTGAACACCTACATTTTTGGTACCTATGACTATAGGGGAAGGCTTCCTTTAAATAAAATACTGCTTCTAATGTAATGCAATTCTCTTGCAATTTAGATTTCATAACTAAATGTATAATAATTTTTGTATCCTAACGTTAAGATATGGTTGGTGACCTATTCTTTCAATACCACAGGATTATTACACTATCATAAAAAACCCTATGGACTTGGGCACCATAAAAAAGCGTCTGGAACACAATTACTACACAAAAGCTGCAGAATGTATTGAAGACTTTAAAACTATGTTTTGGAACTGCTACATGTACAACAAGGTATGTGGAACACCAACTCTTACCAGTAACTGGTTCTACTGAATGATACAAACAAGTCTAAAACAAGCACATGCTTATTAGAACATGTAGTAAGTTAATTGACACTTCCATTATTTCTTTTAAACCCTTTTCTCTGAAAAGCGTTGGGGAGGTTTTTTAGCTAGGATTCATTGAAGACACATAAATGAAGTCTTGCTTGCTGTTCCAACAACTGAGTGCATAGTTTTTTCTACACAAGGACTCCACATCCAAAATCTCTGGGGTTTAGCTGCAGAGCTCTTGAACAGCAAGCACTATGTCACTGCTGTACAAGTCCAAGGCCAGCAACCCTGAGCCATGCTGTGTTCCTTCAACAAGTTTAACCTAATGAAGTTGAGCATCTCCTGTTGGCTGTCTTAGTATCTTTGAGCTTCAACAGCTTCTTCAGAACACAGGGATAAATAAGGGAGCTGCAGATCTGCCCCTTTGGCCTTTGCTGTAGAAGTATGCAGAGGTAAAGGAGGATTTTTCAATGGGACAGTAAGAGAAAAAGCAAATTACTTCACCATTGAAACATTCTAAAGGGAGTTGCAGGGGCAGGAATGGTAATGATTTCTAGACCTCTCTGGTACTGGTGGGTTTTTTCAATCTGTTGGGGCAGTCCTCTAGCCTGGCTTTTTATGAGAGAGCTCCCATTACTGCAGCCTCTCCTTTACTGAATGTACTGACCATATTTTGCAGCCAGGTGATGACATTGTGTTTATGGCTGAAGAACTAGAAAAAGTCTTTATGCAGAAAATAGCCAATATGCCACCAGAAGAAAGACTAGTGAGTCTCAATAAAGGAAAGAGAAAAGGAAAGAAGACAAAAGGTAAGGCTTCTATTATATACTGAATTTGTAATATATGAAGCAAGTAAAACTGGAAACAGGAAATCTTTGTCACAACTCAACCCTGGAACAGTTTGGGTGTTCTCGACTGTTCCAAAACAGTCAGAAAAATAACAATGCTGCTACAAGGCTTTAGAAGATTCTTTTTTTTTTTTTTTAAAGGTTTGTTTGTTTGGGGTTTTTTTTTAGAAAAGGAACTGACTTCCAATTCAGAGACTGTCATGCTGCTCAGCATTGTGTTATATAACTAATAGGTGTGAACATCTGTGGGAACTAAACAGAGTAACAGCTGAAAAAGACATGAAGATATGAATAATCTAATCAGCCACACCAAACACAGAAAAGCATTGGTCTAAACTGTTCTCAGATCTCAGTAGTGAAGATCTATAACATTGCTAAAAATCATATGCAGGTATTACCTATGCTTAGGAAAGATGAACCTACATGATGCAGTCTGCACTCTTTCCTGCTTGGTCTTTATGTGTTTGTAGAAAACAACTTGATACTTTCCTTGGCAAGAACGTTTTTGCAATATACAGAGTGTAGTGTGATGCCTTTTTAATCTTTGGTCTGAAGTTAATCCATGCTTTCTTGAAGCCAAATAATGTGTAACTTGGCATGATGTTCTAGCTGGAGCACTAATGGTGCGAGTAGAGGAGGATACCAATGCTGCTGTAAGTGTCAAACGCTCTTGTTCACATTTATTTATGGCATTCCTCTATAGAAGAGTGGTTATGATGACAACTGGTCAATTTAACCATGAAAGAAATTAACTGCAACATATAAGACTTAAATTCTAAAATGTCCTGTATTAAAACAACCAGAAACATGGCAGCCCAACCCTGGGACTTCAAATGAGCAAAGCACAAATGAGAAACAAACTGAAAGCAGTGAGCAGCCTCCAGTGATGACTCGAGAGCGACAGCAGGTTACACTGGCTCCTTTGTCTGCAGCTCAGCTGACTGCTTTAATGCCAGCTGCAGCCTCTATAACAAAAGTAAGTTTCCTCAAATAACTTTGAGAAAGAAAGACATTGAAATTGCTTCTTCAAGCACTGATGGCAAAACCTTAGGAGCCATGCTTATTGCTGTATGTTTTTGAAACTTTTGTTATAACAGAAGATAGTAAGAGCTCTCTATTAAATCTTCTATGCCTCTGCTAAATAACTGGGCCAGTACTAATTCTAGAAACGAAACAAATTGGAATAATTGCTTGGTACATCTTTTCTTATGAATGTAGTTTTAAAATGTTCTCAAAGAAAAAAAATTAAGATGATAATTCTTGAAGTGCATTACTATATATACTTCTGCAGGCTACACCTTGAGGATAATGGTTTGAGTAGTAAAATAAAGCTCTAAGTTCTATTTAATAATTTCTCATGATTTTTATGTAAATCAAATGCTTGATTATTCAAAAATTAGCATGTTTGCTTAAACACTGTGTAACTAGCCTGGAAGGTGTTTGGAGCTCGCAAATGCGTTCCTGGACACTCCTGTATTGACTTTGTTTTGCTTTTGCTCTTCCAATGAGGAATAGGCACTTTTGCCAGGCTCTCCTATAGTGTGTATTTACACTTTACTCACGTAGAGTCTGAATACTGATGACAAAGCACACATTATATGGCTTCCAAACCAAATACTACACCACTTAAATAAAAACACAGATAAACTGTGTACATAAGGCCCTCAACCAGGCCTGAAATGAATTGCAGTAGTTTTCCTCCTTCCTGTGGCTGTCAACTTGCAGGTAATTTCATAATCTGCTAGCTTCCTGGAATCCTCACAAATGGCTAAAATCTGACCACAGCCAGATGTGGTCAGATCATCTGCAGTACATCTACATCTCTCCTCTACAACTAAGATTGTAGGAGCCTATTGAAGCTCCACAAGGAGCTTAGTGTGCTGGTCTTTTAATACCTTGTAGGTTTTTACTTTAAGCTCGTGGAATAGCTGCATTCTGCTCTGACTTCAATAGCTCTAAAAGTTCCAACACTTTTTCTGGACTATGCATACACACACAAAAGAGTAATCTAAAACTGGCCGTTATTTTACTATTCTGGACAATTGTATATTTTTTTTTCTTAGGCAAAAAAAGGTGTGAAAAGGAAGGCTGACACTACAACTCCTACTACATCAATAGTCACAGCAAGTGGTGAATCTTCTGCAGTGTTTAATGAAAGAAAAGCTGTTAAAGCATGTAGAGGTGAAAATGAATGTATAGTAACAAATAAGTTTCTGAAGAGATCCCTTTCAGATTCTCAACAGCCACCCGGAGTTATTAAAAAGACTCAGTCGTCAGAACAACTAAAACATTGTAATGCAATACTTAAAGAAATGTTTTCAAAGAAACATGCAGCATATGCGTGGCCTTTCATAAAACCTGTAGATGTGGCATCTTTCTCCACTGGTGTGAGCCAAGCCAAATGTCCTACAGACCTAGGAACCATCAAAGTAAGTGCTTCTGGGGAAATTGGACTATTTGTGTAATTACAAGGTTTTAAATGTGTTAGCTGAAAAGGTGTCATGAAAGCTGCTTCTCCTATGAAATGCATAATGGGTCTAGAAACCAGATGCATTTATTTGTCTCTCAAACTTAGACGTTCTTCTGTGACCTTGGCTGAGTCTCGTTGTGACACAGTGACACATAGTGGCTAATCTACCTAACTGCTGAAAAGGCTAATATAAGTAGTGATGGAATTATGATCTCCATGAAGCCCTTCCATGGATGCCACACGTTAAATATCTGTACACACAGTGCTGTTGTTAATTTCTATAAAACAAAATGCACTTTTGTCAACTTCTTCTTTTCCCTCAATCTCAGTATTCTGCATGAAGTGCTCTAGAACTTCTACACTGGATATTTACATGACACATTTCACCTTTTTAGTGGAAAGCAGCCATTCTAGATGGAGATATGAGGACAGTGCTCTGAACACTGAGTGTATCTGTATGGGATAAAGTATTTAGCCCAGTTAAGCTCTACTTTTTTGGGGGAATGTTCCATTTTAATACCTTACTGAATTATCTTGAAAGCTAACTTGCCCAGTACAAAGGCTATTTTGCAATTTCTAGTCCATTAGTTTGACTCCAGGTATTATGGAATAAGTTTTCTGTAATACCATACGTAGAATCAAAAACAGATGCTGAGCTCAGAACCAAATAAAACCACCCAAACATTGTTGTGTTGACCAAGTGCTGAAACTAGTACTACAAATTCCTTCCAGCAATTACAATTAAATCTGTTTAAAAGAGGAAAAAAACTCTTACACTGTTCAAGAGACAACGTTGAAATGAGATGTGGGTATTTCCATAATGTTTTTTATAATATTTACTGTCTTGATACAAGCTGAATCTGTATATTTCTGTTAAAATTCTTGTTCCTCCTTTCTTTCTGCATTTTCATGGTGATGCTGTCTACTAAGTGTGCCTTAATTTTATTCTCCTCTAGAAGAAAATGGATAACTTTGAATATAATGATATACAAGAATTTGCTACAGATGTTAGATTAATGTTCATGAGCTGCTACAAACGTAATTCTTCAGACCATGAAATAGTTGCTATGGCAAGAAAACTTCAGGTGAGTTATCTTTTAAATCAGACTTGAAAAAGAACAGTTCTTTTCATTCCCTGATGTAGAATCCACTAATGAGACTCAACTACTGTGTTGCTGTGTGGTTCTACACATAGTAGCTGCATAATGCCTTTAGAAATCTCAAAAATATGCTGTTCCCAAACCTAACTCTTCAGGATGTTTTTGAAATGCACTTTGCTGAAATTCCTGATGAACCTCTTGCGAGTGATCATCGGCCACAACCTGTCAGAGAAATGACAGAAGCTTATTCCAGTGAAAGTAGTAATGATAACTCTTCAGAAGAAAAATCATCTGAAGACTCTGAAGAGGAGAAAAAAGTGCACCTCAGAAAGCTTCAGGAGCAAGTAAGCATTAGTACTTAATCTGTGTGACTTAAGAGCTCTCTGATAATGCCACTTTCAGTGGTCTAGTCCAAAGCTTAGCAACAAAAATCAGTTTTCAAAAGATTCTAGCAACTTGTATTTTTAATGCAGAACTTTATTCCTGTTTGAAAGCACTGCCAAATGTTAAGCAAATAGTGCCTCACAAATAAAAAGTGAGCAATTGTTCTTCTGCTTTTGCCTATCACTTCTTCAGAGGACTCTCAAACTTCTTAAAAAACAAAACTGTGTTTCTGTGGTATGAGAGCCTCCAGGCACTCCACATGGAGCTTAGTGGCATATTCTTCCAACAGGGTCATTTCTTTCAAATGGTCAGAAAGCATTGTTCTTACCATCAGGCTCTCTTGAGCTGCACAAAACCAAGTCATTAATTTCTTCTTCAGAAAGCTCAGTGTGAGGAAAGAAGGTACCTCATGCTAACCAGTGAAGCAAAGCCATGCTTCATGTTAGGAGTGGCATGGGTGTTGCTTCTGCTTGAACATAACTTTTTAACCTGTTGCTGCTGTATCTATGAACTCTGGGGAAAATTAGCATTTCTTCTGTCCTTGTCAGATTAGCATCATCAATTTGTAAGTGTAGGCAGGATGACAAATACAAGTGTACAAGCCAACCTTTTACAGTAGTGAGGTATTTCAATATGTCTGATTTCTAATCTTATTATTTGACCATCTTCCAATTCCTGAGTTTAAAACAAAGTTGTGTTAAGCTCTTCTCCAAAATTCTTAGTATGTCCCAACTAGCCACTTTATATTGCAAAATATACTGGGCATGAACCCAGTCCCATTTGCTGAATTCAGCAATGCTGTAGAAATATAATCTAACAGGGCATTTATGTGCATTGCAAATTCTTGAAATTAGAGAGGCTGCTGCAAATCCCTACAGTGGTTTGTTGGTTGGTTGTTTGTCTGGTTGGGGTTTTTGTTTGTTTGTTTTTTTGGGGGCGTGCTTGTATTCCTAGAATGTAGAATGCTAAAAGGCATATGCTGTTAGAAATGTCTGCATAAAATAAACATTCCTACATCTTCTAGATGCACAATCTGTGACTAAGATACAATATAGTAAAATGTTTGGAAAATAAATCTTGTTTGGAAAGCAGACGTCCTATTAATATCAGCTCTGCTGCCACAAATTTCCTATAATATTTAGGACCACCAGTTTATTGTTCCTCCTACATTGCCCAAAATGATCAGCATTTGGAGGTTTTTTTATTTTCTTTTTGTTTTTGATAGCTTAAAGCTCTTCACCAGCAGTTGTGGGTTTTGACCAAAGCATGCTTATCTAGACCAGAAAAGAAAAAAGGGAAGGCTAAAAGCGAGAAAAGAAAGAACAAGGGAAAAGCTGAAATAAAAAGCTTGATTCAAAAGAAGAAAAATCTGAAACACATGAAGAAGTCTAAGAAAAAGCTGTCTTTAAACATGTAAGTGTGAGGACTTTGTGTGGGTGTCAAATTATTTTAAACTGCTGTTACTGCAGTATACTTTTTTCCTGCAGTCAATCAAAGAAAACCGTGCAGCAGGTTGTGTTGGCACATAAGTCAGAAGATGAAGATGGTGCCAAACCTATGAATTATGATGAAAAACGACAGTTGAGTTTGGACATAAATAAACTCCCTGGAGATAAGCTTGGGAAAGTAGTCCATATAATACAGTCAAGAGAACCTGCACTGAGGAACTCTAACCCTGATGAGATAGAAATAGACTTTGAAACTTTAAATGCTTCAACACTCAGAGAACTAGAGAAATACGTAGCAACCTGTTTGAGGAAGAAACAAAGTAAGCAGGGTATGTAGCATAAATCATGTTTTTAAAAGTCCATTAGATTTGCTTTGTGGTTTGCTTTCATGTTAACTTCCGTTTCACATGCAGCTAAAAAACCAACGAAGTCAAAAGAAGAACTTAATTTTGAGAGGAAACAAGAGCTAGAGAAGAGGCTACTGGATGTCAATGGTCAACTAAACCCAAAGAAGGAGAACTTCAAGAGTAATGTGGCTCTAACTTTTACTCATTTGGATTGGAAATAGCTTAAAGTGGAATTCTTCCCTTGGGCTTTAGTCCTATTAGAGACTTTGTCCTCAGAATAGTTGGGGTCTTAAGCTTCCCACTTCTAGTCTCAAGATTCTTTCTATGCTGAGTGAGCTGGAGTCACAGCAGCAAATTTGGTCAGTTACTTGTCCTGTCTAAAGCAGCTTCCTTATTCCTGCACCTAATACTTTATTACAGGTAAAGATGGTGACAGTTTGAGAAATTAAGGGACACTAAACAATTCCCTTATGCTAATATATGAAAAGGTGGGGAGTGTGGAGGGTCACACAGTCTATTTGTTTGCAATTCATTTTCTGTGGTTTAGAGATGCAAGAATAACCAATTCTACTAATATGTGTTACATGGCAGTGTCACTAATGCTGTCATGCTAACAAAACTTGTGTATCAGTGACAGGTGTGCTGTGTGACCTTAGGTTTAAGGAAGTGTCCTAGGAGAATAATTCAGTTTTCAGGCAATAATGCTTTTCAAGATCAAAGGCAGAAATTCAGTGCATACTTGAGCTGTACACTTACTGATGGTTCTCATCAGGGGCTGAAAATGGATCAATGCAGCTGATGCTGCTATTATAAGTCAAGCTGTTCCTCATTAAAATAGTGAGTGCTATTATTGCCCTCCACTGGATATCTATTTAGCTCCTATGTAAAATCAGCTGAAATGATAGAAGCAGTTCTGGAAGACACAGAGACATTTGTATCCATCATTAGCTTAGTCAAGTCTTCCTGTCTGGTATACATAATGGCTTGAAAATATCCTACAAAGAAAATCTTAAAGAAGCAGCTTAAATCAATTATGAACTATATGTTGTGAGGAGAGAGAAGCTGGCTAGGACATCTTTACAACTGGTATCTGGCTTGTTTACAAGAGCTAAATCTGGACTTGTGTCCAGAGAAACAGGTATCCATGTAACTTCTCATTTTTGAAGCTTCCACAGAGTAAAAATTTTGAAAACAGTTTGACTGCAAAATCATTATAAGCTGAGTTAAATCAACTCTGCAGATGCAAAATAGTCAGATGGTGGGGAGGTGGAAAAAGATGGCAATTTGGGAGTACACATGGCTAGGGAAAGAAGAGCTGGCTGTAGATAAAGAACTCTGCAGGCAAGTCTGGCAGCAGCAACATGCACAGAAACAGGCTCTCAACCACAGGAAAACTTATGGGGGAAAATTGCTTGAATTGTGTCTTTAAGTCTCTACAGTTTTCATCTACTTCAGAATTGTAAATTGTGTGATTGCAGCTTCTCCTTGGATATTTCATTAATTCAGGTAACTTGCTGCTGGTAAATTGAACTTTCTCCTCTCTAGAGGGAGGCCTTTGTTTTCAAGTCCACTGCTAAACAGACAATAGATAAGGAAGTGAAATAAAATGAACATGGGAGAATAGGACTAACAAGGTTGATCATAGTCTTGTATGTGAAGAATGCTCCACTGCAGCTTGTTCTGAATTCTTTTTCTCCTACAGTTGAAAACAATGCTGAGTCAAGTACTGGGCCAAGCAGACTGAGTGACAGCAGCAGCAGCTCCTCAGATTCTGGCAGCAGTACTAGCAGTGATTCTAGCTCCTCAGATAGCAGTGACTCCGAATCAGGTTAGAAGGCTTATTTTTGTGTTTGTGTAGGCAAAATATCTTCTCTCTTAGCATCTACTGTTCCATATGCTTACCAAGGATTTTAGTTGTCTTTGTTTTGGGGTTTGTTCCATTTTGAAGGCTGAATTTCAATGCTATGAAATGGAATTAACGCCTTAATATTGAGATTCCAAGCTAACACAAAACAGCCAAACCCCACTACATGCATCCAACTTACTAGTGAAAATCTATAGGAACCAAAATAAGCTACCAAAAGGTCTTTGTATCTAACCTGGACACTTGACTACTGGGCTATAGCTTACTCTTGTAGCTTTGATCCCTTTTTGAAAGTGTGATTCACTTTACTTTCATCTTCTGGTCTGCAGCATGCAGGGTGACCTGAGCAACAGAAGTGCCTACAGCATTAACTGTGGAGCCAAAATCCACCCTGGTGCTTAAACTGTTTCAGGCTTGTTTAAAGGATATTACAGCATCAGAACACTGAATGAGGTTTCTCTGTACACAAAACTCTTTAGTTTTTTGGAACAGAACTGGAGGTCTACAGTGTAGATCTCCATGTGAGGGATAAGGTGAGGTGAATGCTCGACCCTCTGCAGTGTGGGGGGAGCAAACACAGTGAATCAATGGCAATGAAGACCTTGATCTTGCAGCAATCTTTGTAGTCTCTTTTTATACCTGGAAGAAGATCTCTAAACACATCAAGCTCAAGTCAACATATTCAAGATGATAATGTTCCTTTCACTGTGAGGTTTGACTCTAGGTACAACTGCAACTCACACCTTCTATATATGAATAATGAAACATATGTGAATGACTGATTTTTTTTTTTTAATTTTTTTTCCATCCCCCTCACTGTATTTATTTATAGTTACAGAAAAATGTTCAAAACAAACTGGAGCCAGGCAGAACTGTCCAACTTCTATGGAAAAGTCTAAGGTAAAGCTGGAATGGATGTAATAATTTTGTCCTAAACAAATAAAATTATTACACAAATCTTTATTTTTTAACATACGGTGGTAATAGAAATGATGCAACTTGATCAGGAAATAATGAATATGGCTTGAATGCTATTTGTTCTGTAGGACTGATTGATATTAAGATGTCCCATGAGCTGTTTGTTAAAAGTACCTTATGCATCTGTATAGGAATAGATATACTGGGAGAACTGAGGCTTTTACTTTTATAATCATTGTGGTGATCATGTGTTTGATGAAGAAGGGCAGAATGTTCCACATACCCCCACCCACCCCCCAAAAAAGGCAAATACTCCCCAAATTGATCTCTGAGCATAGAATTCACCTTACAAAAAATGTCATGTTTTTTAATCTATTAATAACCTCACTTCTACACGTGAGAATAAATGAATTGTACAATATACCACTTATTTTCAGGATACTTTAATGTTGCTTATTGTTATGGTATTATTAGAACCAACAACAGTTTTATCTAGAAATAATTTTTTAATGCCTCTTAGATTGAATTGCTCTATTCCTATATTATACAGTGGGTATTATTTCTTGTCAAGGTTAGCTGCCTTCAACAATTTCCCTTGAAGCTACCAGAGACAGAGACCTTGAATTTCAAAGCAAAATCACAGCCAAACCTTCATTTTTCTTGCAATAGACTGACTTTCCCTTAAAGCACAGGAAACTAGGCTGCAAATGTATTATTCAGCTGCTCCTTCTGCATCTTCATGAGCAAAGATTCAGAGAAGGAAATTATGCAACACCCTTTTTTTACTTGAGAGCTGCAGCCTCTGCAGTGACAGAATGACAGCAATAAACTTGAAAACAGGATCCAGGAAATGAGCTTCAGCTTGGTCAGTTTTAACAGCCTTGAACTGACCTTCTGAGCAGCAACAAACATCATACTTGAAATCCTCACATTACATCTTGTTCTCAGGGGTTTTCTGTACCTATTAGACCAAGGCAGCAAATGCACTTTTACCTCATCGGCTTTTTGTCATTGAAACACTTAGAAAATGATGGATCAGTATCGCAGTGCAAGGGGTACTGAATGTGATCAGCAGTGGGAATGATAGTGGTGGGAAAAGAGGATCAAACAGCTTTTAAAAAATTCGGCTGGATTAACTGCTGCAGTCTTTTTAGAGAGAATACAATTTTGTTTACAGAGGACATCCTGCAATGCTGTTCTGCAAGCACAGCCCTCCTCTCTTACTAGCAGCTTGCAAAATCATGGATCATCTGAACAGCAGCAACCTCCCAATGTACTGCAAGGGCTTCAGTGTAGTTCACTTAATCCATCAGAACAAAATGTTCAGACTCTCTCAGGTAATACCTTTATGGCTGTATTTGACTGCTGAGGAACAAAGGGTTGTCAGGATGATTGTATCAGCCAACAAGCTTATCTTGGGGGTTTTGGAGGTTAGCAAGTGGATAACTGAAAAAGTTTTTGCAGGGTATGGATTACCAAGGAGCATTATGTAAATTAAGGTATGGCAGCACTGAGGACTGACCAGGGGTTTCAGATTACTGGGACACTTGTGGTGAGGCAGAATAGTATTAAAAACAGGAGGTGTTTGTGCTTCCTTCCAGTGAGATGGAAAAGGATATCTTAATGACCTTGGAGTTATAGGAAGTGTTGAACACATTAAGGCAGGATTAGATGCTTAAAGCCATGCCCAGTACCCAGGTTCATTTCTGAAATGCCTATCAGCTGAATGCAAGGCTTGGTGCCACACATCCTCTGAGCTGATTGTTGTTGTCTAGACAATAAGATACATGAAGTTGCTTAGGAACTTGATCCAAGGAGTTGTTCTTTTCCCTCCCTTATTTCAAAGAGTCTAATAATGTCAGATGCTTCTAAGATTTTAGTAGAAAACAGCATGAGCTAGTAGCTGATTAACTGAGAAATCAATTAAAAACTAATTAAAAATAGCTCTCATAAATCATGTGGCTAGAATATGTATCTCCATACTGAGTTACTCCACAGATCTAAACAGTGACCTAATTTTGAGATGTAGGACTGTATTTTGCATGATAGGGGAAAAATCATCCTGCTTCTTTCTCAGGTAAAATCTCAGCTGTATCTGCTCTGCATGATGCTCCAGACCAGCAAACTCCTCAGAGCACTCCAAAGACAAATCAGTCTTCTATCACCTACTCCAGAAATGTTCTTCCAGAGGTGAATACGTGCTTCTCTCTAATGAATTAATTTCAAACGGCATCTGTAAAGTATATTCTTACCTTTTAAATAAGATGTAATATAATACTTCAGGCTTGAATTTGATGTGGTGAAAGCCATTTAAGGTTTACAACAAACCCCAATAATAAAGTGATTCTTATCTTTTGACAGGGTATTACTTCATTGCCTATTGGCTGCAGCACAAAAGGAAAGTTTGGCTGATCACATTTACAGTGTACTGTAAAGCTTATTTTATTTCTTTTCAGGGCTATATCTTGAACTTAAGTACCCCTTGCACACTTACAGGTTAAACGTCTACCTGGTAAACCAACAGCTTTACAAAAGAGGCAGATTATAATATGTGTTTTGGTTTTGCAGAAATACCAATTTCACAAATTCAGCAATACTGAGGGTCTAGAGGCTGTACTGGGAAAGTGTTGCTTTTCATACCTTTTCCTAAAGCTATGGAAACTGGGGCCTTCAGGGTCTAGAGAAGCTTGTAAAATATTTAATCACTGTTGAGTTCTGTCTTAATGTGTTCTTGGAGAGTATCCAGGTTAGAAGGGTCTCTGTAGAGCAAAGGAAGTTATTGATATTACTGTAGCACAATCGCTTCTATCCTATGATGATTAATGATCTTTCTGAACATGGTTGAAAATTTAGTTGCTTTAATCAGGCTGCAATAGCTTTCTTTTTGGCAAAGGATAGAGACTGCCTCTTGAATCTATGAGCACAGAACATGTGCAAGTAAGGATGAAAAGCATCTCACATTTTCCTGTTCGTGAACACTGTCCAGGGTAGCAGGTAATGCAAATTATGACTCAGGTTTGTGCAGCACTGTCCTTAGTTCAAGGCATTAATTTGCACAGAGAAAAAAATACCACTGCACTGAAGATCAGTTACCCTTCACCCTAATCTACAAGGTAGAGTGCAGCAACTGCCTTTATGACAACTTGATTCTGCTGTACAATGTTAAGGGTTAAAAATCGTGTATCAGTTTCTGTTGTTCTACCCACTCCATCACTTGGGATTGCTGAGCTGTGCATATTCTAAATCTAAGCCTTGATGTATGAACTTGCTTTGGTTACCATAATATGAGTGAAATCTATTTCTTCCCTGGTGTTTACAGAAGCTAGAATTTGTTGCTCTCAGCTTCTAAACCTTTAATCCTGATGCTGTGTAATAAGAATCTTCATATGCTAAACACAAGTAATATGAAAAACGTATTTTGAAGTCTAGCTTTTCTTCTAGGTGTCCAACACCATTTTCCAAGTTGACAGTGCTGACTGGAGTAAACAAGTTGAGCAAACAAAACATCTAGACAAATTAAATAAACTTCAAAACAAGACCAGCATGAGAACTGCTGATTTAATATCCATAAGTCAAGAACAAAGTATGTAATGTCATAATAAAAACTGTAACCATTATCAGGGGTGCAAATTTAAAAATGCATATGAAACTAGTTTAAAGAAATATCATGCTGAACACCTGTATATTAACCAGTTTGCAGGATAATGGGGGGTGTGCAGTTTTCCCTTGCTCTTTTTTCTTTGCTGCTTAAAAACAAACAAAAAAAGTGAAATTAAATGGATGTTTGGTTCTTGTTCTGTGTTAAAATATATAAAGAAAGTTACCGTTTGATTTAAGAATTGAGCTTTCTGAATGTAGTACTAGGAATAAGTAACTCAATCTTCCATGAAGTCTGAGAATTGATGCTTCAATCTGTTGAACTTCACTGGCCTTTGAAATGTCTTCTGCTGAAGCTTCATGGAGCTCTTTTCCCAGGGCACTTTGTGTGTATTTTGAGTTATCATCTTTGGGTCTTGGTGATAAGGATCTGGCAGCAAAATCAATGTCAAAGACTTTCACTATGGAATAAACTTGCAATCATTAAAAGAACACCGGCTCTCTATACTTCATACATATTTCAATCTAAAGAATTGACTGAACACCCATGCTCTGTATCCAGTATTACCAGACACAATTGTTTTGGTTTCTCCTTTACTCTTTGCCCTCTAGAACACCTCTAGAGAGAGTGAAGAAGCTTCTGAAAACTTGAAATTAAAAGGCAGAGCCTGTTCACTGATGAACTCTTATTTTTGGCAAAGAAAAATGCTAAGAATTTGCAGTGTATTAAAGCAATTCTAAAAATTGAGATTTAATTCTCCATGAATTTCTATTCATTTTAGGGTCTTAACACACCAATCCATACATCTACTGCCCCCTTTTCTTTAGACTTGGCAGCAGCTGGAACTGGCATATAGCCTCAGCTAAGGCTTTTCACTTAGAAAATTTTGAGGCTGTGAGGTCTTTCTGAAAACCCCGTTAATGACAAACTGGTTGAGGGTTTGATAGTTTGAATGCAGAATTCTGGATTCAAACACTACTCCTTTGCATAATTAAAAAAAAATAGTCAATATAGTACCTGAAATTTTTCATTAAACATTTATTTAAATACTGAAACATCTCAAACTACAGTACATGATTTTTGCTGAATAAGATAAAGTATGTTGTTTATCTCTGGTTTGAAAATAGCATTTGGGGTTTTCTTTCCCCTCAAATTATCAAGAAGTAATAGCATGGAGGATATCTGTAGGCTACTAGAAATGTGACAACTAGCCCTTGATGGCTGACCTATCTGCTTATTAAAAAAATAAATAGGGTTGAGAGCTTTAGGTGAAATGAGATCAGTGAGGTACTCTTACTGCTGGAATCAGAAGGAAAGAGGGCTGGATGGGAAGGGGAGGAAGTAAGTGGCAAAGTGCTGTGTTTAGGCTTCCTGCCCAAACCTTTAGAGCATTCTGCTGGACCTCTCCTAGAATTAACCTGGAGTTAATTTCTCATCTATAGTTAACCTAACTATACCTTTTCCTGCCCAAAAGTGGAGAAAAGTGGTGCAGTTCCACTGGAGCTTAGGAAATGTCTGTGAGAATTGCTGTCATTCTGAACCAGATAATAAACTGTACTGTAAGCTTTTAAGTAAATTCTTTGAATGACTAAAGTTTTATCATTTAAATTTGAGAAATAGTTTATCAAATCAACATGATCCATGATCGAAAAGTCTTTTTTATTCTTCCATCAGGTCACTGTTCACCCAGTGATAAATCAAATGATAAAAACATACTAGAGCCAATGTCTGAACTTCTTCCAAGAAAGGTAAGCGGTGCTCAAGTTCTATTTAAGAAGAGGCTGAATTTACTAGGTTGAAAAACTCTTTGACCTAGGATCGTCTCTAAAAAGCTATTCTTTTATGATTAGAATATTTAGTGTAAATATAACAGTTTGTCATTGTTATAATCTGTACAGATTTATCTTACTTTTAGTGTTAAAACCGAACCATCTATGGACTGTCTTCATTTCAGTAGATAAAGCATATAAGATACATATACACACACATATATGTTGTATGCCCATGTTGCCATATTTAAATATGGCTTGTTTCATCTAGTTTTAATATTTAAACAAGGAACCAGTGTTCTTTGATCTAGTTCTGATACCCAAGTTATTAGTGTGCTTTTGCTTTCTGATCCAGTAACAAAAACAAGAGTGTGGAATATAGTCTCAGTGCTATTGGAAAACCTGTTCTGAAATAAGGCAAAGCACTTTTAATGACTAAAGCTATTTATGACAGTGGAGCAAAATCTTTCCGAGCATACAGTAAGTTATCTTAACTGGAAGGACAGAGATATTATCTACTAAATTCTTCTCTTGTAATCAGCTAATCAAAAACATTAAATCAAAATTACTAACAATAGATTATGTCAACCCCTGGACCTAAAAAGTTTTCTATATCATCTGTTATACTAAAATATTTCTAGGATTTTTCTTTAGGCACTTAGCTTTCAGAAAGTTATTAACTAACATGTTGAATTCAATTCCAAAAATATGTATTTCCTTCATGAGCACGTGCTTCTACTAGAAGCAGGATTTCTTAAGAATGCTGGTTTTATTTTGGTTTATGCTGTGAAGAAAATGCCACAGGGGAACAAATAAAACCCACAAGCCTAATATAAAACTATTGTTATGTAAGGATGACGTATAGAAATTAGATGGATGTTTTCTGTATTAAAACCTTCTCAATGGACCTTGTGTAAACTCAGCCCTGTGAATTCATGTTTTCTGAAATGAAAAAGTGGAGAGGTAGACTTAAATGGTCAGAATAGCTACAAATGCTAATGGTTGTTGGCATATTGCTAAAGACGCTCAAAGTTTATGAGAAAGCACATCAAAATCTGCTCAGATTGCTGTATTTACACTAATATTCTGCCAAAGGAAGGATATTTTGGGGTAGATATTTCCAACAGGCCCAGTCAAACAACATCGTGCTAATGTAGGAACTAAGCAGGTAAAATAGTTGCAGAGTATTTTTTCTTCTTCTGTGTTTTCCTTTTCTAATAACTTCAGGATACAGAACTGAAGACTGTAGATTCCTGGGTAAGCCTATGTAAAACAATGAAGCTTCCAGCTCCAATAAAAGCGTCTGCTGAGAGCTTCAATCAGTTCAGGGACGCAGTATTAAAGAGGAGTGGGCAAGTTCAACAGTCAAAAAGGTCTCTTGTGCAAGCTGAGAGAGAGCTGCAAAATCTTCCAGAAGAAAACAAAAGGTTTGTAGCCACTTCTGTGTAAGTAGTATTCTGATTTTTGCCTGTATGTTACTGAGAGGCTTAGTTATTCAGGAACAAGGGTTTTGGATTAGGTGATTGCCACATGTCGGGTGAAACTGAGGAGCTGTACCATGCTAAGCAAAACTGCACATCCAAAATGCACAAAGCAAATTTTCTCTTCAAATCAGTATTATTTCAGCAGTCAGAGAAACTTCTCGGGAATTTCTTTCTTTGTTGTTGCTGTTAGTTTGCTTCTGGAGTTGGTTGTTTTTTGGTTTTTGGTTTTTTTATGGAGGAGATTTTGGTTTTTGTTTGGGTACTAATGTGAGGGGTTTTGGTCCCCTGGAGCACTCGTGACCAGAGTTCATATTTGTCCTATTTTTTTATACTTGTAGCCAGGAATGTCCTTATCTCAGTGCTCTCCTAAGGGGATACAGGATAGTCTAGTCTTTGAGAGCACAGTGTTAACATTGCTGTACAGGGGTTCCAGTGTGCACCACTTCACACAGCAGAATTCTTTGCATTGTTGTAGGAAAGCACCTTCAATAAGCCCCTGCTGGAGTATTCTTCCTCAGTTGTTTGCAGCTCCTGTTTCAGGCAGTGCCCTGAGGTCTGTGGTCATGCTGAGTGGGATAAGTGACTGCCTACTAATTACTGCATTGCACTAATATCCTGGAGTTTTTTTGCCACCTTGTGAAAACTGTTTGCAATATTTCCCTCTCCACTAGCCTGCATTTCTTTTTCCTTGCTTGTTTCACCCTGTGAAAGATAAATCTGAGCTGGTTCCTAAATTCCCCTGCACTTGTCCATTGCTGGTTGTATTAGAATAAATCAATTGCTTGGATTGTTTTATTTTAATAACCATAGCATTTGAGAGACTTAAGAGTATACTCCTGGTTCAGAAGTCAATCAACTCTACCTCAAATAACTAATTGAAGAGGAAGAAGGTAGAAGAAAAGCATCACAGGCCAAGAAAGTAACAGAAAAAAAAGAATTTTAAAGCAAGTGTATATAAATTTTGTGTAGCATATCTATAAATCCTACATGCATACAGATTAGAAATGGGACACAGGAAACATGAACCTACTACAGCCCAACAATTGTATGCACATAACTCTTGTGAAGGCAAATCACTATGAAACACTGTGAAAGAGAACCGTACTTTAAGAGCTAGGCACTGATTTAAATTATTTGCAGAATTCTATCATGTTGTTAAAAAAACCAACCAAACAAAAAAAAGCAAAACAAACAAACAAAAACCACAAAAACAAACAAACAAACAAACTTTTATCCTATGCTGATTTCTTCTCCTGCCTTTAAAGGGGCCATGAAAGCACAGGACTGGATGCCATGGCAGCAACAGACTGTGAGCTTGAAAAAGAAATACACAAGAGTACACTGCCTGAAGCTCAACAACATATTCTTGGTCAAGACCGTGACTTGGCTAGAAAAATGGAACAAGAACGCAGGAGGAAGGAAGCAGTAAGTTTCTGACTCCAGCTACATGATTTTTTTTTCAGCTTTACTAGAGAATAAACAAATATTACATCTGGTCCTTATTCCAAAGGATCTGAATGATTGAAAAGAACAGAACTATACTACCTGAAGAGCTAGTCCAGAAAATGCAATAGGAAACTCCAAGTATGTCTTCAAGTGACAACTTGTGAAAAGCTATCTGCTTGGTCCTAGTACTCCCATAAGCTTAGAATAATTTTGTGGTGAAATAAAATTCTGAAAGAGTCCCTGCCCTCTAAATAATTTCAAACTTTGAGTATTGCAAGCTGTCCATCCTCCTTAATGTGTTCCATGTCAACAGAAACTGCTAGTCATTCTGTTCTGGTGTCAAATATCAGGCCTGAGCCTTTTAAAAACTAACTGGTTTTATTGGTGACAGTAATTCATGTTTTTTAATTGCTACCTTTTTTAGATTAAACTTTTTTTTTTTAATTCATAATACTGTACAATGGAATATAAGTACCACTGTGAGACCATGCTGGATTCAGATAAGTTCAGCTGAAGCTTTCATCCTTCAGCTCTTTCCTGGGGGCTTCAACAACATGCACACTCAAACTTGTCATAACAGAGAGGACATACATTTTTTGAGAAGATGCTTTACAATTTTCTCTTAAATCATTAATTATTTGACTTGCATAGTATTCATTATTGTTTGACTGCTCTGAAAAGACACTCATTTGCTTTCTTGCAGACAGCTTGGATAATTGATGTGAATCTGCAAAGAGATATTATGGCATCTTTCGAAGAATATCTTGAGTGAAAGCAGTAGCTTATACAGAATTTAATTTCAAACTACTACAAGTAGCACAGTTTTGTACTAGTTAGGATCTTACATGTTAAGACCACTTTAAAGATCTTCTGTAAAATGCTTTTTATTAAAAGGTTGTTCATTAATACCTGAAATATCACAAGATTTATTTCTTTTCAATGCTTGTTTATAATATGTAATCTAGTCTGCTACACATTGGAATGGAGTTGTTCATTTGATTATGGTTTTATCTGTTGTGTATATATGGTATTAAAAAATCACTTTACTGTGACACACCTGCACAAAATCTGGACTGTGACAAAAAGATCTCTCTAAAATTGATACCGTCTAAGGGGTGTGTAACATTACTTGTCATCATAAAAAAAGCTCCATGAACTCTATCATTTCAGCAGTAAATCTTATGTACCTTCATGTCTTTTAAGGCCCAGATGTGTTCAATGTATTCCTTGTTAACATAACGTTCAGCTAAGGCTGCAAACACGTTTGCCACATAGTTCTAGTTCTTCTCAGGAAGAAATTACAGCAGACTGGCTCTAGTTTGAAAGATTTTCTGATTAATGCATTATTAATGTTAAAAAGTTATCTGAGGTAGAAACTGGAATGTAGAAACCACACATTCTTGTTGATTATATACAGCTGTGGGAAATTAGTACAAGACTAATAAAACATTGTTTTATGGAATGAATACCAAAACACAATGTGTATTACAGAAATGCTGGGTGGAAGAGGCACCCTTCAGACAACCTAGCTCAGTAGTCTCCAAAACCTTTTTGTCATGTACCTCATAATTTAAATATATTAAGCATGGACCCCAAAACATGTATGTTTATTAATTTATAAATTATATACAATAATACACAGTATTAGTATATTTTTATATTACATTATGATATTTTTTATTTCTGTTTTTATTTTTAACCCTTGTTTATTATTTTACTTTGTAATTTAAGAAACTTTATTCAATATTTTCTTCCCACACTCCACTTTGGAGATTACTGATTTTACTGAGCCTCCCACTCAAAACTCTCTCCAGACAGAGAACTTCTATTTGTCAAGTTCCTGGATGAAAAGTGAAGGTAACACTGCCAGTTGTGGTGAGGTTCTAAGTAAGCTAAGTGAACAAAACTTTCTACAAATAATTGAATTTTCAGAGAAAGGTAATAAATTGCTTCTAAATTCAAAAATGCCAGCTAAAGCACACCCCAGAATGATCTCATCTTGGTCTTTCAGGTAGCAGGCTGATGAGTTAGTACTAGTTCTGCTACATTTAGTTAATAGTCATGGATCTTCAAATTCTGCTATTGCTGGAATGGTATTATTTCATTCAATAGCACAAAGAGTGTGTATGACAAACACTCACATTGGGCCAGCACCCTCTGAAATGTCTAGGGGTGTCCTGGCCTAGAGGCATGCTCAAGTGAACGCTGTTTGGGAGATTTGACAACTTGGCTAGGACAGGGATTTGGGATGAAAGATGGGTTGTAATGTGAAGTGGTGCTGTTAGGATGTCTTTCAGATCCACATCAAAAGTGACCTGCCTTCATTTGTAGTTTATGCATTGTTAAGAGCTATTTGTCCTGCAATAAAGTACTGCAGTTCACATCCAGGACTCTCTACCTTGCTGTCAATTGGATATACTTTCTGGGTTAATGCAAACTCAAAAGCTCTTGCTTTGGAAATTGGAGGTGATAAAGGGAAGGGCAAGAATTCCTTCTGAGCATTTCATCCACTGGATACAGCTATATGGGCATTGCTGATATGAACTGGTGCTTTTGTCTCTTCAAAAACTAATTCCAGCTTCCATGACTCTATACTATCATGACAGTTTAATGTCACAATGTCAGTGCTGCTAATGCTAATCTGATAAACCCTTTATTTGCAACCTCCAAGTCACTTGGAGAGGATAATCAGTTCCTGTCTCCAGACAGAAGGCTGGATCCAGAGGCAAGGGAGATGGCCTCCAAATGTGAGTAACAAGCCTCTAAGGATCGTTTGCCCAAAGCCATGAACACACTTAAAGACACAGAAATACCACTTGGATAGATTCCCCCTGCAAACAACAAGCTGCTTAAATAAACTGTTAGTTACCTAACAGTTAAAAGGTGTACTAAGTTCTGTTACACCATTCATTTACCTTTATCATTGATGAAAACAGCTGCTTTCATGTGTCATTTGCCTACTTGTGTCTATGCTAGTAGATTATATCTACATATAAATGAAAGGTAAGATAGTTATTAGCTTTAAGAAGTTCCTCTGTCACTAATAAATGGAATATGGTAAATTTCTTACTACCAACTATGAGTTGGTCAGGCTGGAGGCAGAGGCAGAATCAGTGATGTGCAAAGTTGTCCTCTTTTATCTCTCAGAGAACTGGGATTAGTTGAGCTGACAAAAGATAAACAGGCAGATGGCACCTTATGGAGGGCAAAGCACACTGTCGAAGCACGTAAGACAATCTGCCCTAGGGTTGGTTTGACTTGGCACCCATTAGAACAATAATTTAGAGCAAAAGATGAGAAAATCAAAATATAAAGAAGACAGAAAAATAATTGTCAGGGCTCTAAGTTTTTCTTATTCATATGACATGTAGAAGATTGTAAGCTTTCTTCTGCAAAATCCTGGAAAACGTATGGAAGGTATTTGCCTCATACAAACAGGTTTGCCACACAGATGTGGACACCATGGTCCTAGAGTACAAAGTAAGTGTTCCTGAATAATAGAAGAATTCTACAACTTCCTTGGAAAACAGGATAGCTAAGGCAGCACAGGTGGAGGTGCCCAGAAATCCTGAATTAGGGTGTGCAGCAATTTCATTGTGCAAACACTGCTCAGAACTGCTAGGTCACCAGCACTACTTTCTTCCCAGCTTTGATACCAGATCAATATCCATTACCTGAAGACGGCACAGCTAAACTCCATATCCAAAAGTTTTGTATAATTTAGAAGTTTGACATAACTATTGATAGTTAGTGATGTATAAAATAAAAACAGACTTGATTCTATTCTTGTGAAAAAATTGCTTCTTTCTTTGTACAAGAATTACTGCATAGCTTGGCCAAATACCTTTGTATAATAAGGCACATTGTATAATAAGGCACATCATGCTTCCATCTTTTTTCCTCCTTGTATTCTAGATGACTATGGGAATTCTGTGATTGCTGTACCTAAATCTTTCATCAACCTTTCTTTGAAGGCAAGTGAAAGCTTGTGGTCCATTTCAGGATTTCAAACGTGTTCTCCAATTTTTCTTAGGGGATGTTTTCCAGTAATTAATTCTGCTTACTGGTTTATTAAGAAATTTGATAATAATATAAACCATGATATAAACAACAGCACTGGTTGTTTTGCTCCTGCCAAACTTCCTAATTTATCTAACTGGGTCACTGGTTTACTGAGGTGCACGTCAGGGAAAATTCTGCTGCTGCTTAGACTGATATTGAGAAGTTGCAAAGGCTTCTTCCCTACAAGAAAGGTCATTAGCACAAATTCTGATGCATAAGAAATTAGCTGTATGCTAATCGTAGGGTTGGCGTGTGAGTAATCTGAGCACAAAGGGAAAGCTCAGCCTCAATAGGCATGATTCATGTAATCCTACTGGAGTCTGCAGAGGTCGGTGTCTGAACTGAATCATCTGCATCTGTTCCTTCTCTTCTTGCCCAAGAGAAGGAAGGAGCCTTAAACAGCCCTGCACCTTTTTCCCCAGCAGACTGACAAAGCTCCTGACCTTAAGTTTGTAAGACTTGTGTTCACACAAGGAGCAGGGATCATGAAGTATTATTCAGCATTGGCAGCTGATGTAGGTTGATGGTATTTCATTTGTGTTATTGATAAACAGGAAGCTTGGCAGCTTTTTACAGCTACTTGAAATGTTATCTTTAGTAATGGAAAATAAATTCATGTTAGGGTTGTAACTTGTTTAAACTTCTGAAGTCATAAAAATGCAGTAACAAGCCATTCTTTATAACATTTCTTTCTGCTGCTTTAGTTAATTTGATTTGATTTTTCTAAAAAAGGAAAAATTTTGATCTTGTTGTTGAAACCAGCATTAATTCTGTCACTGCCTTCAATGGGCCTAGGATTCAACATCAGTGTCTATATTTGTAAATCTGAATTTAGAACAAGTAGGAGAAAGCATTTGGTACGTTACAGACAAAAGTCATCTACAAGCTGTGTTCTGTGCATAGTGAAAAATAATATATATTCTGTCTGCATACATGCTTATCCAATTTTTTTTTTAAACTAGCTCATTGAATTATGCATCTTAGAGTTAACAGATGGATAGTGTCTTTGGTGCAGCTTCTACTTGCACTGCTGGACAGAGCAAAAATATTTACTGGAAGTTAAGTTCTAATCCTACAGATTTATCTGGACCAAGAAGAAATTTTGGTTTTCATTAAATTCATAAAATTTGGTAACCCTGCTCTCTTCAAATGGCAAGAATCTGCATGTAGGCCTACACATGAGCTGTGACTCTCACGTGGCCTCTAAAAGTCTTGAACCTGCCTGTATCCTCTAGTCTGAGAAGCAAAGGATCTTGGAGTAAAGGTGAGCAGGCCATGCAGTGAGTTAAATGAGGATTTGACATGCAAGCTCAATTATACTTTTCTTGTAGTCAGCAAATACCATGTCCACATTTTGTTATCTTCTAGGGCTAGTAAACTGTAATTTCTTATAATGCACTTTTACAACTTGTAAAATCAATTGCTTCATATAGTTACACTTGTACTTACAGTTTTGGTTTGTGAGCCATTCTACTTTTAAATTACCCTTTATCCTACATATCAGTAGGTTAATAGGAGACAGAATGAAGACTTTCTTCTTACCCCGGCATCTGTGGCCTTGTATGAGACAGTGACTCCTTGGTGTGTGCTTGTAGTGATTTACTAATGGGCAGGCATGGGGGTTGTTCAGCCTCGATCAGCCCTCAAGAGTTAAGATATCAATACAGCCTAAGTTACATTTGGGCAATTTATCTTTTTAAGAAATATTCA